AAAATCCCATTAAAAAAAAAAAAAAAAAAAAAGGAAAAATCCTTTTCCAACCCTCTGTGAAATAATAGTCAGGAAACAGAGTGAGAGGAATGGAAGGAAGGGTTTCACCCATCACTAATTCCGTCCTCCAGACTATAGCTACTACTGTGTATGGAAGCTATTTTCATTGGAGGCTCTAAATATGTGGGAAAAAATCAGGTACAGGGTCTAATTAAAAAAACCCAACAAAAAAACCCAGCATGCAAGCAAGAGACTTTCATACACACAATAAAATGAAAACCCTTTCTATAGAGTATTTTGGGTACAGCACCTTTACTTCTGTCCTCTTGAATGCTAGGAATGTGGCTGTTGTATCCAGCTTAAGTTTTATTTCAGGTTTCTTGACCAATGGATCTTTCACAGCTGGTGCTACTGAAACTACAGCAGGGGCTGGTTTCTGAGGTGGTTTTTGTGTCTTTTGAGCCTGCAGAAGAAATGATTAAACCCATATTAGGCATATTTCTGTACTATTAACTGAGTTAATCAAAGTGGCAGCAAAAATGTGTTATCAGACATAATATTACCTTTATATGATGCCTGGAGATCAAACAGTGAGGGAGCAGGTCATATGTCAATACAATTTTGATCTGTAGGGAAATTTCCAGCTGAGTCATAGGCTAGTAAGAGGTGTCACCTTTGTGCCACCATAACAATTTTTATGTTGGCACAAAGCAAAAGCAAATAGATATCCACACCCTTTGTTGCACTACAATTGCCTTTGTGGCCATGACAAAAAGTAATACTAAACTGTCGCTTTTTCTCAGCAGACATCTATTTGCTTTAGGGCAGAAGAGTGCAGGCAGCCTGGAGTGGCCCACACTCTCCAGCTGCCCTGTGTAGGTATTCACCCAGGGCTTGAAGGGCCCAGTCCTGTGCGCCTCCAGGGCTGCCACACAGGATTAGGCTCCTCCAGCCCTGGGAGTGCCTACTTGGCTTTCCCCTTTTAAGAGATGTGCTTCTAAGCATCTCCACGCTTTCCCCTCTTAGCAATGCATACAGGAAATTCCTAGGGCACATCCCTGTAAGCAGGGGGCTGCGAGGCTGTGCCACAGTGGCCATGAGGACCACTGGCTGGTATTGGGGAGCCAGCATTTTATTTTTAGTAAGATTTTGGTTTTTTTATTTTGCAGATTTCATGGACAATGCCTGATTTTGGATTTCATGGAAACTGCAAAATCAGGCACTGTTCATGAAATTGCAAATTGAGTAGGTCCCTACACATGACCAGTGGATGGAACAATGGGTGACATGCGTTCCACACAATAAAGCAGATCAGCTGATTTGCTTCATTTGGCAACGTCTGTTTTATATCCCCAGATCCCCAGTAGGGAAGATTCTAGCTGCTGAAAGGCATCCTGGGTAACTGACAAGGGAAGGGAGATGAAGAGATGTCAGCTAGAAGCAGGTCTGGAGTATGAGTAAAGGGAACTACGGATAAAGCATGAGAAGTGGAAGAGAGGGTATGAGCAGAAGACAGCTATTGTGAAACAGGTTACAAGGATGTCAGAAATGGTAAGTAAGGCAGCAGTATTCATGTGAGGTAGCTAAAGGAAATTGGCACCTGGAAAGAAAAGATGACTGATGACAGTTGGGGGTGGGAAGTGAAGTGTGAAGTATTTATATACATAGGTAAGTTTACTACGATGCTTGAATGCAATTTAATGAGCACAAGCAAGCATTCCTGACTTGAAAGGCTTGAAGACAATCAAAATACTAGAAGAAACAATGACATCAAAGGGAAGACTCTTATTGGCTGATGTCCTAGAGCAAAAAACATTTTAAATGAGTGTCTTTTTCTGTCTTCCTAATGCAAGGGCAAATTTGAGCAGATAACATGAAAGTAACATATCGAGGTAAGAAAATGTCTTTGGTTTCACTAAACCTAACAAACACAATTTTCTATCCCAGCCCTGAGGCCACATGGGAGCCAGTTGGAGACTCTGGTGTGGTCCCAGGGCTGGGAAGGATAATTAGCTGATTTTTGGTCCCAGCCCCAGGACTGCACTAGATTCTCCAACCAGCCCTGATCCCAGGGCACCAGGGAGATCCAGCATCAGGGGCAGCACCCTCTCCCAGCCTCCGCTCCCTATGCCTCCCTCTACCCGAAGCCAGAAGAAGAGACCCGGCTTGGGAGATCATAGTAAGCATTACTGCACAGCTAGGCATTCTAACTTTTGGTAATGCTTACTACAATGTAAATAAAAGACGTGACAAGGCCCTAACATACAGCTCAGTGCAAATAAAGAGCCTCATGCTATACAAATATGTGGTATCAGCTTCCACTGGCTCCACTGAGAGTTAAGAATATTCACTACTTAACATGATCTGGTCTCAAGCCTGCTATCCTTTGTTATTGTCATGTTAAGTTCCAGAAAATCAGCTGACTCATTGCTAAAACTGAAAAGAAAAAACTTACAAAACTATTCAGCAGACTTGTGAAATAAATAAGAGCAAAATGAAATCAGCCTAATTTCTTCTTGCACTGCTTATTAGTGGGGAAGAAATAACTTGACCTTGTCTCACTTACGTAATGTTAAAACTATTGTTCAATAAGCATGCTACTTTGTTGAATAAGCACATTCTTTGAGACTCTATGGTTAAGAAAAAGAAAAATCAGCAGCAAAAAAGAACGTGCACCTTTGAAAAATGATTCTTCAACAACCTTTTAAAGATTTCTGCCTTTTTCTTTAAAAAAAAACAACAAAAACCAAAACAACCTATATGAATTGCTGTCTTCAGATACCATTCACGTTAGACAAAAAGCTGACTCCTACCATTCTTTTCATCTGTCTGGTGCAGCGGGCACAATACCACACAAGGCGAGGATCATTGACTTCCTTGTCTGTCACCTGAGGTTTATGGCAATCCTGGTGGTAGAGATTATGGCACTCCTGACACTCCACTAACTGATTCCCAGAAGAAACTGTCATTTGCCTACAGGACAAACAGTTGAAAAAAAATTACTGAAGAATACACTTTAAGGCTTAAAATAAAAACTAAAAATATGCTCTCTCTCCATGTGCATTTTCTATATTTGGAACAATGAAATGGATTCCTTTTCTATTACATAGACTCTTCTGAACAAGTCTGGCTTGTTCTAAAATTGGTTCTCTACAGAAAAAAGTTTATATTATTTTAAATATATTTTAAAATAAGTTACCTCTACAGGACAAAATCATTTGGTGTGTCCCCTCTTTTACTTCTTTATGGTATTACAGACTTGAAAAAATAATGTCATCCAACCTGGCCCTGTTTTTATTTTCCTACTTGAGTTTTATATTAGACATCAAGATCTTATGTACCTGGCTTTGCAGAGTGGACTTTATGAACAACTATCTATATATTTACATGTCCACCCCAATACTGCTGTATAAATCATCTATTTCATATTTGCATCATTATGTTATAAGTTGTTGAGCAATACACTTTGACTACAATAATGTCTAAATGACAATCAGTAACAGTGCTTTCAACTTCAAGATTTTAGAAATGTCATCATGCAAACAGTAACTTTTATTACACAACACGTGTAGACACTAGAAACGGCAGATAACACCCACACCATGGAAAAAATTGAACGTGTATGCCTCAAAGCAAACATGTAAGCTGGTGATGAGGACTTAATTTTCTTTGGGCCTCTGGTGAAAAGAATCAAGTTGTATAAATGACAAATTAGTCATATACACATGACTGGAAGTATGCCTGTGAATTAGCCAAATACCATTTTCCTAATGATTTCTTCTTTCAGATGACAAATCAGGCTATTTAATTGCTAAGCTGCTTTTGCTCATATCCCCAAGGAGCAGGTAACTAGGTAACCATGGAAACTCTATTTGTGGACGGGTGGCAAAAGGTAATACCTTATATTTTTATATAACAAGAAAATAAAGTCAGAAGATGTTGTCCATATGGCTGTTGGAACATTTTCTGGAAAATATATATATATTTTAAATGGTCTATTTAAAAATTAAAGGAGGAAATAATCTGAAATTCTAGTGCATACTATTTGGATTCAGGATGGATCAAAACCCAGTCTGTTACCAAAAAAAAACTGGGTCAGAACAAACAATGATGTTTCAACTACGTGTCACTAGGGAACAGACTAATTTCCATATTCTAAAACTATAAAAGGACAATTTTCAGTGGATTACAAAAAAAAATACACTTTTCATGCCAAGGAATGTCAATGCTAGACTTATTTTAAACTAATTTTGTAATCAAGTGACAGCCCAAATGGTTTTGTATCTTTGAAAAATGAAGATGAAATCAATTTATTCATTAAAGTTTAGAAGTCTGCTCTTGCAAAGGTAATAGGAATTTTTCATAAATCCTTTATCTTTGAAAGAAGTAGTGTCACCTGCAAAATTTCTCTGTTTGACACTCATTTATGCCTTGTAACCAACAACACCTGCAAATCCATGTTTTGGAGACAGTGTGTTTTTTTTAAACTGCCCTTTCTCCGTACCTCCATACTCTTGCTCTGACCATTTAAAAGGAAAAGAGGGGTCAACAACAACATATCTAGTCACTCTGAATTCCTAATTGTACCCTTAGCAAAGCCATACTCACACCTAACTCTAGACTAGCTCTAGAAGTGAATAAGCAAAGCTTAGTTGTCAATTCAATCATCTGAGAGTTAGAGCAGTTCAGTTCTAAAGTTGGCTTTGCACTCACTTGCTGTGCGACTTTGAGCAAGTCACTTAATCTCTCTGTACTCGAGTTTCCAGGTCCATAAAATGGGATAAGAAAGAGTAACACTAGTAGGTTGGCAAATGACTTCCTGTTCTGTGCTTGTGTAATGTGCATGATAGAAAAAAAAGGGTCCTTACCCAGCACCAGAGATCCCAATTACTACTGAGAATAAATAAATAATATAATTTGGGTTCCTGGTGTTTTGCATTTGAATTTGAAGTTCTCATTAGCAGTTAAACTAAAACATTATAAAAGCCATGGAACAAGTTGACAACTGAGAAGTGGCAGAAACCATGGCACTAAAAACATTTTTTTTTTCAGTGAACCTCAAATAAACTTTTGGACTAAAGACAGCACTAATTACTGCTGGTAAGATATGCAAGGAACTCAGGGATATGTAAATACAATGTAAAACATGTAAGAATGCTTCTTTTGTAGTAAAGAAACAATGATGCCTCTGATATTTTGAAGTGTGATTGCAATGTTTAGCAAGAGGCCTGTTTTCTGTCAGGTGTCAGCAAGGTTCTGCAACAGTGGCCTGGATCAACCTGGTTTGGTTCAAAGCAGGCCAGTGCTTCCAAGGCCACTCCTGCTGCTACCACTGCTTCTCCCAGCCAGGCTGCCCTGCCCACTGTCTTCTGAGACTTGGAATTCACTAGGATACCACCAGACCTTCACCTGTCCTTATCTTGAAAAAGTGTCCTGACCAGAACGAGCCAGATAGGGAATCATGTAACATCAACACCTCCAATAGGTTCATCTAGGTCCTGAACAAATCCGGAATCTTGGGTTCATGTGCTACTTTACCCTTTATATGGAATGTTATTTTCCCTCCTAATCTCTTCCTTCTTTTGTCATTTATCTAAAAAACGTTTGTTCTTTTGCAATATACTGTGCCCAGACAGGCCAACTAGAAGCAATGCTTTAAATGGCCTGGTAAAAGTTTGGCAGGTCTTAGAATGACTGACATGACCATGTACTAGGCCTATTTGCTTCCATCAGCAAGGCTGTGGGTAGAAGCCACTGCAAGAGGCTGCGGTGATGTTTTCTTTGTTGTTCTCTTATCTTCGTGTGTGCATTATGTTGTATTTCGTCTTAAGAGACACTGGATCAATCTTCAAAGCAACAGTTATAGACTATCTGAACTCTTTCCCCATCTTCCTCCAATAAGACAATTGATACCATCTACAATGACTATCATATTAGGAGGCTTGGCCCTATAAAACATGCAAGACAGTTAGAAGTCAAAAGGTGTATTTTTTAAATGGAAGTTTTCCTTTTCTGTCTTTAATAAAACCTCAGACTTTTAGCAACTGTTGTTACAATGGGAAAAAAAATCAGCAATGATTTGAGATATGAAACTTTACTAAATGGTTTAAAAATGTGACAACAATAACTTATCCATTAGTAAATCTGATACCCTCTCTCTAGGAACACAACAGGAGCTGAAAATTGATTTTTTTGGGGGGGGGGCACACACACACACCAACCTTCTTACTCTTTGTATGTATTCAAAAAGTACTTTTGCTAATTTTCTGTTATATTAACACTAACATGCTTCCTAGTCATCAACAGATTCTTTTTTTAAATTAAATTTCAATCTCAGAATGTTTAATCATGCATCAGAAAAGGAAAGTCAGGAAGAAGCCCTTTTGTCTTTAAGTCTGAGATAAATACTCAGTTGGTAGCTAGAAATATTTTTATGGGCAAACCAACTACAAATTAGGCAGAAAGCAGGACAGTGCGGCACCTTATATCACTAACTTTCAACTCATACCTCTTAACTTCTGCCTAACATTAGATTAACATGGCTAAATACTCCTCTCAACTGCAAACTGTTACAGAAACAAAACACACACAAAACTCTACAAATGCCATTTAAAAAAAATCATCTCAGAAGAGAACTGACTTTTGAGAAAACTGCTTGTGATTAGCAATTCACTTTTTAAGTTCAGCTTCTAATCACAAATCAATATTTTTAACTATATACAAGATGCTCAATTTATTTTTTGTCTTTTCTGAAAGAAGGGCAGAGGTCTGGTCTTTATCACTCTGGCAAAAATTTCAACATTGTTATGAGAAATGATTTCCCTCAAGACCTTATTTCTGCTTCACTAACATTTATATATGTTTTTTCTTACAGGCTCCATATTTCAAAATAGCATTCTTATTCAGGAAGCGCACTTAACCATATAATTAATTTTATGCCCATGCTTATGTTCAATTGAAGTCCTTAAATGCTTTCCAGAATAAAGATGAAAATTATTAACAAGCTAAGAAATGTAATTAATTGGAAACACTGAGAGACAGCAAATTCAGATCTATACAATTCATTTGTACAATCACTTTGCATTGAAGAACTGCATTGTAAGAAAGGTATGAGGGTATGTTTGATGAAGCATATGACACTTACCGGCAAACAACACAGGCCAACCCCATCTCCATAGCAAAATCATCAGCACTGGTTTCATCAAAACTGGACAGATCAGGCATAGACAAATCCTTGCTAGTCTGGACTGTGATAGGGGAGGAACGAGTCTCTTGCTTTTCTAGCCTGGGTTTTTTTGGAATGTCACCTCCTTCTATTATCTCCCCTTTTACCTGTTAAGCGCGCACACACACACACACACACACACACACAAGATGAAAACGTGAAAGGTTAGTTATTAACATTTATCTGAGCAACCAACTGGCATAAACAGTTCAGAACAGCATTGTTCAGCTGGCAGTCCATGGGCTGCATGCAACCTCTGAAGGGTTGATGCACATCTCTAGGCTCCTACTCAGCTGTTGTTTGTCTTATTGCTCCAGCTGTGGACTCTAGGGCTGCCTATACATGTGCTGGTTCACGTTCTAGTTGGAAGGTGTTGAAGCAGACTTAATTGAGTCTGTTCTGCATTCTAATTGGAACACTCCAGCGTGGCCTCACCATTGTGTGTATAAGCCCCAACACATTTTAAAATGGCTGCAGGGGTGCTTGTCAAATGAGGTTTAGATAAAGAATCCCGTGTGTGTGTGTGGGGGGGGGGCGTTGCCCATGCATGTGGTGTAGCATTACGACCCATGGCTCAGATTAGTGCAGCCCCTGGGTGGAGAGCCCCCAGGCACTTAGAAGTTGGACAACCCTGGTTTAGAAATACAGCAGTTAAAGTATAACTGTGCATCTACACGATATGCTTTCCTAGAGAGATATTATTCATTGCCACCACAACATTTTTGAACTAGTAGTTTAAGGAGTCCTCTGTATTACAGCTCAGGATTTGTTAAAAGTTCAGGGATCTTGAGAGAAAAAAAAAAAGAGAGAGAGGTTGGCATACTATTTCTATTATGCTCTTCCCAAGAGTAGTAATGTATTACAAAATATGGAAAATTAAGATGAAATTTTTGCTATGCTGTCTGTCCTGTGTTGACCAGTGATGCTAATTAATGGGACAGGTGAGCTATGGCCTTAACTAAAAATAAATCAAATTTGCCAAGTTCTTCATGAACAAATTGCTTCTTGTTACAATATTTTTAAATTCAAGCACCAACAGAACCAATTTCACTGCAAATTATTTAATTAAGACTTACTTTATCAGCGGATCTTTTCTCAGTTTCTTTTTTCACCTTTTCTGTTGTAGTAGGCTTGCCATTATTGTTGCCTGAAGGCAAGCTGGGTGAAGCTTTAGGCTCCTGCTTACTGGAGACTGGTTTGGTAATAGATACTTTGGGTTGTTCCACTTCCTAAACAAACAAAAGAAGACTTAAAGACAAACCTAATACAACGGTAACCAATCAAATCACATACATGAATAAATAAGTTTAATTTGGCTCCAGTAACTTCTACAAAAAAACCCCACACACTTTTCAAGAGATAGGGTTCTAGTTTAACAAAAAAAACCAAACCAAAACAAAACCCTAAGCACATCTTCATTTTGGTTTATTAATTTCAAAGAAAAAAATTTTAAATCTGTAAAATTGAAACCCATAACAAACAAAAATTTTTAGATAATTTTGAAGACAAAATGTAATGTATGAAAACATAAAAGAGATGATTTCTGTAGTCAGTGAACATCAGTATTTCCTTCCTTCAAAGAGAAGGATATTGGCCTTTGCTTAATCTTGGCCAGTATTTACCTTTTAGGTGAGTAAATCTGAATATTCATATCAACAGTTCTTACCAGTGATGTATTACTATTAGTGGTGAATAGCAAGCAGGTTGGTTGTAAATGAGTGATCAATTACAGCTATACGTGTGAGAATCAAAAGCTGAGCAACTAAAGTTCCTTCTAGCCTAGGGAAGAACTAACTATAACACTTCATTTAACCTACGTTATCCATGTGTCAGTGCAGACCAGTAAAGCATAGCATTTTCTTTCTAATGTTCTAATTAGTAAATTTTTAATGGTTTTCAATACACTGGTAAAATTTTAGCTGTTTTTTTTTCTACAAATTATTTTAGCTTTAAAACACTGAGCTTTTTTTGGTCACTACCTGCCCCATGCAAATTTAAAATCAACAGAATTTGCAGAAAACGGGTTTTTAACTACTTTAAGATCTGTCCCCAACAACAATAACTAATCTGTATTTTATGAGCATTTAGTTTTAATTACAAGTTGATAAATCCATCAATTTGGTTAATTTCGGATGACCAATATGGTACAGGAATAGAAAGTGACTGCAGAGCAATACATTACAAATTCATAACTCTTCCAACTTAAGAAGAAACAGCTGCCTTCCAGATCCAGAGTCTGCCCCAACTAAAGACTACAGAATTTTTGCCATTATCTTCAACAACAGTAGGATCAACCTTGCTGTGTTAAAGGTGAGCAATCAACATGGTTACTCCACAAGTCTGTTTATTTCTTTCCACTTCTTTTAGTCCTTCATCTAGAAAACTTAAAACAGAAATAGCTGGAGTGATAACAACACACGAATAATGACCTGCATGCTCCACAAATGATAATACCTTCTGTGAAGGACGATAGCTTGAATCAATTCCTCTTGCCAGAGACTCATCAAGCAAAGCTTTTAGCTTTTCAGCAGAATCTTTACTTTTTGAATGAAGGAAGCCAAGGGCTTTCAGAAAGATGGGATCAAGTTCCAAGTTCACCGTGGCAGCCATAGCAGCCTCTTTGAAGGAAAATAAAAAAGAAGAGAACATTATTTACATGCAGTATAACTCATGCAACAGAATAGATCAGAGGAGGCGTATGTGCGAGTATATCTAAATATATATAGGGACCTACCTAAATCACGACAGAAGTGCACTGTGAAGTGGCTCCTTTTTGCTGTGTACTCCCCCAACACTGATTTTTGGAGGGGCCCCATCAGCCCCACTTGCTACTTATCGGCTGGGAGGCAAAACTGCGGTTTTAAATATACTGCAGTTTTTGCCTCCTGACCAATAAGTCGTGACTGGTGGGGTCATTGGGGCCCTTCGGCCAATCAGCAGCAGGAGGCAAAAACTGCAGCATACTTAACACCGTGTTTTTGGTCCCCCGGCTGATCGGTAGCAAGTGGTGACTGGTGGGGCTTCCAGACCCCTCTGCCAATCAGTTGCGGGGGGGGTGGGGGGTAATATGGCAAAAAGAGCATGATTAAACGAGCTGCTGCACAGTGCATTTCTGCTGTTTAGGTAGGTCTACATAT